GCCCAGGGGCGGCCAGGCGGGCTCAGGAGCCGGTGTCTGCGTCCTGCGGGCCAGACCGTCCTCTCCGGCACCACCGGGCCTGGAGCACGCAGCTGGGGGCGGGGGCGCCCCAATTCCTCCTCTACGTGGTCAGGGCCACGTCTGGAGGATCCCAAGGCTCCTGCACTCAGCCCTTCCCCGCCGCCCTCCAGCCACGCCTCCCTGCACCCCGGCCCGAGCTAGCCACGCCCACCCGCCCGCGCCGACCGCGCCCCTCCCGCCCGGAGCCTCCACCGCGCCCTGCAGCCTCCACTCCGCCCTGCAGCCTCCAGCTCCCCGCCTGCAGCTGGCCACCTGGGTGCTGACCCCCGCCCCGTGTGTGACCCCGGCACTGTGTGTCCCGGTCCTGGGCCACCTTCCAGCTGGAGGCAACCAGAGTCTCCCAGGACAAGCCCCCCTCTGTCCTCTCTCTCTCTCTCTCTCTCTCACACACACACACACACACTCACACACACGCACGCGCGCACACACACACGCACACATACACGTGCACACACGTGCACATACACGTGCACACACGCGCGCACACACATGCACACGCGCGCACATACACGTGCACACGCGTGCACACATGCACACGCGCGCGCACACGCGCGCACACACGCACACACACGCACACTGTCTCCAGGTGAACTCCTGCGCAGGCAGCCCTCGCAGGTTAGCAGGACTGAAGCCGCCCCGGTGAACAGCCAGAGCCTCCTCGATGCCCCGCCATGGAGGCCGCTTAAGAGAACTGCCCGGTCCCGGCGTGGCTCAGGGGTGGAGCATCCACCTAGGAACCAGGAAGGCACGGTTCGATTCCCAGTCAGGGCGCAGGCCCGGGCTGCGGGCTCCATCCCCCATGTGGGGCGTCATTTACTCCCCCCCCCCAAAAAAAGCGTGTGAGTATTGGGGTTCCCAGCTGTGGGACAGACACCTGGGGCGGTGGGGAGCGGGGGTGCAGTTTCCCCTTGCTTGCTCAATGGTGGGGGAGGATCCTGGATGAGCTCATGTTGCAATTCCGGAAGCTGGCATCCAGAGAGGGGCGGTGGCTTCCCCCGGGCACCCGTGAGTCAGGGCTGAGCTGGAGCCCAGCCCCGATCACCACCCTCTGCATCACCCACTCGTGCATGCATTCATTCATTCATCCACCCACTCATGCATCCGTGCATTCATTCCTTCATTCCTTCACTCATTCATCCGCCCAAGGGCTCCTTCCTTCGCGCCCACAGCTGAGCACCGAGGCAGGTCCTGCCAAAGGAACAGACCGCCAACAGAGTCCCCGCCATCCTGGTGAGGGAGACCAGCAATGAGAGAGCAAACACATAAGCCACGCCACGCAGGTCTGGACCGAGGGGCCAGGGGAGGCCACAAAGTGGGGGACCAGCACGCTGCACCCTGAAAGGGAGAGAGAAAGCAAGGGAGGGCATCGTGGCTGAAGGCCGGGCGGGGGAGGGCCGGGCGTGTCTGAGGACAGAGCGGGCCCACACGGCTCAGTGTGATGCTCAGCGGGACCCCACGCAGTGTGGGGGGAGGGCACAGGCGCGGGCGGGGTCCGGAGAAGGAGAAGCCACAGAGGGTCCAGTTTGAATTCCGTGAGAGGAAGGTGACCAGGCGTCCGGCTTTTGGCGAGACAGTCCGATTTTTAACAATTTGTCCCCCATCCCGCGGCGTTATAAAAAAGTCCAGAAATCTTGTTTAAAATGCCGAGGGACGCGGGACAAATTGTTAAAAATCAAGAGTGTCCCGCCAAAAGCGGGACGTCTGGTCACCTTACATAAGAGCCCCCGGGACCCCTCGGTGCCCCCTCCTCACCGGCCGGCGCGGCACTCCAGGGGGTCCCCCCAGTCCTCACCCCCCATCACGGCAGCGGGGCCTTGCCTGCCTCGTAGGCACGTGGGGCTCCTCACCCCACCTGGGCTGCCGAGAAGCCAGCTCCTGGCGGCCCCCTGGGCCAGCAGGGCTCCCGCTGCCCGGCCAGACGCCCTGCGTCCAGGGTTCCCACAGAGCGCCCCCTGCCCCGCCCCCCCTGGGAGCAGTGACTCCCGCTCTCTGCAGGGGGTGCTGGCTGCGGGTACGAGGCTGGCAGGATGGCAGAGGAGGGCTGTCCACCTCCCTGGCATCTTGCAGCCTCAGTCCGGGAAGGAGGGGAGAGCATGCTCGGCCTCCCTCCACACCGAGCCGAAGAAAATGATCCGACCACAAGGTGAGCCACAGCTCTGGCCAGTGTGGGTGAGTGGTTAGAGCCCTGGCCCTGGCACCAAAAGGTCTCGGGTTCAATTCCCGGTCCAGGGCACGTATCTGAGTTGTAGGTTGGACCCCTGGCCCTCGATGGGGCACCTGTAGGAGGCAAGCAATGGATGTGTCTCTCTCACATCGATGTCACACTCTCTCTCCCTCTCCCTCCTTCCCTTCTACTCTCTCTAAAAATAAATGGAAAGAAATATCCTCAGGTGAGGATTTACAAAACAAAGGGAGCCATGGACTCGACCAGATGCCTCGCCAAAAAGAACAGGAAGGTGGCAACAGTCCTGGCCAGTGTGGCTCAATGGGTAGAGTGTCGGCCGGAGGACCAAAGGGACTGGGGTTCGATTCCAGCCAAGGTACGTGACCTCTGTTGCAGACTCCTCCCGGGCCCGGGTACCGGTCAGGGCTGGTGCAGGAGGCAACCCATCGATGTGTCTCTCACATCAACGTTTCGCCCTGTCTCTCCCCATCCCTCCCACTCTCCCTAAGGATCAATGGGAAAACACCCTTGGGTGAGGATTTAAAAAAAACAGAGTGTGGGAGCTGGGGTTCGGAGGCCAGAGGTGTGTCCGGGACCCGGAAGGACAGCCAGGCCACTGGCTTCTGCCCCCCAGCCTGGCGCCCCGCGAGACCCTGCTCGGCAGCCAATGGGCTGGGCGCCCGGAGCCGGCCACACGGCCTAGTTCCTGTTTTCAAACGGGGAACTGCGCACCGCCACGGCCCGGAGCCTGAATGCAGCGCTGAGGGGCCCATGACCCGCTCCCGGACCCCTGGACTCCCACAGGGCCAGCAGCCGCAGGTCAGAGGTCAGTGGCTGATCCCAAGCTCAGTGCCCCCCGGGCCCCCCACCCCCGGGCCTGAGCCCGGCGGACCGGGACCCACCCTCAGCACCTGTTGGGGGAAGGGTGGGCCCCAGAGGGCGGGCGGCGCCTCGGTGCACCCTGGGACGGCCCAGGGAGCCGCTCCCCAGCCCTCCGCGGCCTCGGTTCCTCTGGAGGTTCCTTCCACAGCCCCTCCTGACCTGGGGGGGATTCGGTGCCACACCTGTGTTTCCGAAACAGTGGTGCCAGGGAACCCCTGGGCGACTTGTGTACCATGGGGAGTCCGGGGCCCACCCCCAGACCTGCTGGGCTGGACTCTGGTGCCGGGGGCCAGGGGATCTGGCCTCTCCGAGCCCCAGCACCCCTCGCCGAGGAGGCTCTGGTGGCAGCGGGGGCTGTTCCGGCAGCGTTTCCCCCCTCCCCCCTCTGTCCAGGCCGCAGGGGCACAGGGTGCAGACCGGGCCTGGAGTCGGACAGGCCAGCGTTCACGCCCAGCCCCACCCCGGGCCCACCTGCAGACCCAGCCGCCTGCACCCTTCGTGTTCTGAGCTCCTGCCCATGAGCTCACTGTCCCCCTTTCCGATCCGTCTCAGACGCTGACAGTGCTGCTCCAGCTGCTACCTTGGTTTAGAGCTTTTATTTCTCACTTAGTTCTCGAAGCATCTATCGTATGTCTGATAAAGAGCAGGACTGTTAGACAGTGGGGGGCGGGGGTGGGGGGGAGAACGGGGGTGGGGGGGGGTCTGGGCGATGCTGCCCATGGACGCCAGCCCCAGGGAGTGGGTTCTGCTTGTATAAAAGAAACTGAGGCAGAGAAGGTAAGGAACATGCCAGGCACCCGGACAGCTCCTTCACAGGGTCACCGCCCCCCCCCCGCCGCCCCTCCCCGCCCCCCGCCCCAGCAGGGGTGGAAGGACCCCGCAGACAAACAGGCTCCTTCTGTCCCACCCCATGCCCTGCCCACCACCAACCGCTGGAAGTCTCGGTTCCTATCACAAAGCGGGGATTCCCGCGGAGGGAGGGAGGGAGCGGGCGCTGCGGGCAGAGGCCTGGGGGCTCACAGCTCTGGCTCTGCTCGTGGGGCACACTCCCCAGCCATAGCCCCTGGGCCCGCCTCCTCTGCTCTGGGAGTCCGGACAGGCCTGGGGGGACGGGGAGGGGGGGTGAAGAAGACAGTGGGTGTGAAAAACCTGGGGGACCAGGAAGTGGGGGAAGAAGTGATGGATGGCCCCGGCCGGTGTGGCTCAGTGGGTTGGAGTGTCATCCTGGACATGAAAGGGTTGTAGGTGCGATTCCCGGTCAGGGCACAGGCCCGGGTTTGGGGCTCCATCCCCAGTAAAGGGCATGCAGGAGGCAGCCAATCTGTGATTTTCTCTCATCACGGATGTCTCTTTCCCTCTCCCTTCCTCTCTGAAATCAATAAAAATATATTGAAAAAAATAAATTAAATAAAATAAGAAATTCAGAGCATAAACTGGCAATATAAGGATCCTAACAAGGAAGGACCTGCTCGGCCATGGGTCCTGGTTTAGCACCGGCAGGGGGGCAGGCAGCTGGTGGGCAGGGCGGCCCAGCACTGGGGACCAGGAGACAGGTCCCAGGCCTCCCAGGACTCACCAGCCCCCCCTACCCCCCACCCCAAGAGGCACTCACTGTTCTCTCTCTCTTTTTTAAAAAAATATTTCTTATTGATTTTTTACAGAGAGGAATAGAGAGGAATAGAGAGTTAGAAACATCAATGAGAGAATCATCGATCAGCTGCCTCCTGCACACCCCCTCCTGGGGATGTGCCCGCAACCAAGGTGCATGCCCTTGATTGGAATCAAACCCTTCAGTCCACAGGCCGACAGTCTACCCACTGAGCCACACCGGTCTCAGCTCACTGTTCTCTCTGTCCCCCGGGCAGCCCCGAGCATGGCCACTGCCCAGCAGCCCTGGAGCCCCGGATGGGCGGGACTCACCACCCCAAGCGAGGCAGGGGCTGGGCAGGAGGCGCCCGCCGCTGGCCCTGGCCTCCCCGCTCCAGGACCTGAAGGGGACCCGGGTGAGTGGGGCGGGGGCGTGGGCGGGGGAACGCAGGTGGGAGGACATCTGAAACACGGGTGGGCACCTCAGCAGATGCCATGTGACAGCCGGGGGCCTCCGGAGCCGGCTCAGCCCCACGGAGCCGCGGAGCCGGGCGCGGGCCCACCGGCAGGCGGGAAGAGGAGCGGGCGACACACGTTGCATTTGGCAACCACAGCCGCGTGGGGAGGAGGGGCCACGTCAGGCCGTCCGTCCGTCCGTCCGCCTGTCCGTCCGCCCGCCCGTCATCCAGGGCAGGATGGGTTCAGCAGGTGGGGCCCAGGGTCGGGCTGATGCCCGGCTGGCCTCGTTCTTGGGGGGACGGGGACGGGGGAGCCACAGCTCCTCTGGAGCCCCATGGCCCATCCCAGGCAGACCCGGCCGCCCCCCAGGCCTGGCCCCGCATGCAGGGGCCCGGTCGTAGGCTGCAGTGCTGTTCTCGCAGCCGCCGTCGCTGCCGGCAGCCCAGGCGCCCACTCCGGCATGACCACGCGGGAGCTGCAGGAGTACTGGAGGGGCGAGAAGGGCGACCGCAAGCCCGTGAGGCTGATCTTCGACATCGCCTCGGCCCGCATCGAGGAGGGGACACCGTGCAGGTTTGTGGTAAGCACCGCCTCCCCTGCCCGGGGTCAGGGGTCAGGGGTCAGGTCCGCGGGCCTCGGCTTCCCCGGCCGGGAAGGGCTCACCTTCCAGGGTCAGTTCTGCGGGGGAGGATGGTTCCAGTGCCATTTAAAACAGCACCGCACAGAGCAGCCCATCCTGCCAGTTTGGCTCAGTGGGCAGAGCATCAGCCCGCCGACGGAAGGGTCCCCATTGGATTCCGCAGGCTCCTCGGGGCGCGTGCAGATGGCAATCTATGGACATCCATGTGTCTCTCTCTTTCCCTCCCTCTCCACGCTCTCTCAGAGATCAGTGGGAACACAGCCTCGGGTTGAAGATGAGCATATTACCAAAAAAAAAAAAAAAAAAAAAAAAAAAGCCCATTTTCAGGGTGTGCTTTCACTCCCCATCATCATTCTTTCCCGTCGCCAGGATGGCTCTGTCCCTTCAGACCCTCCTTGGGATGCACTCCAATGATCTCTCTCTCTCTCTCTCCATATCTCCCTCTCTCCATCCCTCTCTCTCTCCATATCTCTCTCACCATCTCTCTCTCTCTCACCCCATCCCTCTCTCCATCTCTCTCTCTCTCTCTCTCTCCCCCCCAATCTCTCTCTTCTCTCTCCCTATCTCTCTCTCCATCTCTCCCCCCCTCTCTCTCCATCTCCCCCCCTCCCTCCCCCCTCCGCAGATGTACCAGGTGGTGGTCATCCAGACGGGCAGCTACGACAGCACGAAGGCGGTGCTGGAGCGGCGCTACTCGGACTTCGAGGCGCTGCAGCGCGGCCTGCTGCGCGCCTTCCCGGAGGAGATGGAGGACGTGGCCTTCCCGGGGAAGCGGCTGCTGGGCAACCTGGCGCCCGCGCTGATCGCCGCGCGCTCGCGGGCGCTGGCCGAGTACCTGCGGCAGCTGGCGGCCCTGCGCGGCGTGCGCCGCTCGCGGGAGCTGCTGGACTTCCTGACGCGGCCCGAGCTGCGCGAGGCCTTCGGCTGCCTGCGCGCCGGCCAGTACGCGCGGGCGCTGGGCGCGCTGGGCCGCGCGGGGCCGCTGCAGGCGCGGCTCACGGCGCACCGGCCGGCCGCCGCCGCCCCCGCGCTCTGCGCCGCGCTGCTCTGCCTGCGCGAGCTCGAGCGCCCCCTGGAGGCCTTCGCGGCGGGCGAGCGCGCGCTGGCGCGGCTGCGGGACGGACACCGCTACCTGGAGCCGCTGCTGGACGCCATGGTGCGCCTGGCCGGCGCGCTGGGCCGCGACTGCGCGCCCCTGCAGCGGCGCCTGGAGGACTGCCAGCTGCGCAGGCCCGGCCCGCGGGGCCTCACGCTCAAGGAGCTGGCCGTGCGCGAGTACCTGGACTGAGCCGCTGCAAGCTGCAGACCCTGTCCTCGGGGCGCCTCCTGGATGCAATAGCCACGTGGGGCCGCTTAGAGTCCCCCATTTCCCCAGCTGCGTCCAGCGGAGGCCCCACCCCTGGCCCCCAACTTCCCCTCCTCTCCCCCACTCCTCCCTGTGTCCCTTAGATGCCAGGCTCCCCTGATCTAAAACCACAAACCCAGCCTAAACCAGTGTGGCTCAGTGGATAGAGCGTCGGCCTGCGGTGTGAAGGGTCCCAGGTTCGATTCCGGTCAAGGGCATGTGCCTTGGTTGCGGGCACATCCCTAGGAGGGGGTGTGCAGGAGGCAGCTGATGGATGTTTCGCGCTCATCGATGTTTCTAGCTCTCTATCCCTCTCCCTTCCTCTCTGTAAAATAAATAAATAAATAAATAAATAAATAAATAAATAAATAAATAAATAAATAAATAAAATATATATTTAAAAAAATAAATAAATAAAACCACAAACCCAGCCCCGGCTTGTGTGGCTCAGTGGCGAGCGTGGACCTATGAAAACCGGGAGGTCAGGGTTTGATTCCTGGTCAGGGCATAGGCCCTGGTGGCGGACTCGATCCCCAGGGCGGGGCGTGCAAGAGGCGGCCGGTCCATGATTCTCTCTCATCACTGATGTTTCTATCTCCCTCTCCCTCACCCTTCCTCTCTGACATCAATGAAAATACGTTTTTTAAAAAGAAAGAAAGCCCAGCAGGAGGCGGGGGGGTTAGTAGATGATTCGGGCAGCCAGCGGGGTGAGCTGAGTGGGCCCCGGATGTCAGCCTGCTGGGTGCAGAGGGACCACGAGGGACACGGGAGTCTCACGGGGTGCCACTGGGGTGGGGACCTCCTAGAATCTGCCCTGCAGGGTTGGGGTCTGGGTACGCACCCGTGGCCACGCTTCTTCCACAGGGAGGTCCTGGCACAGAGAGAAGGGGGGCTGGGGCCAGGTACCTGGGAAGTCAGCCTGGACCAGGCCAGTGGCGAGGGCAGATGTCGAATGTGGGGGTCGTCTACACCCCAAAATATCACATTCTGTGCATGTGTGAGGTTTTTTTGTTTAAAAAAAAAAAAACACTAATAACGGGGTGGAGGGGACCTACAAAATCATATCAGGGCGTTCCCCATCACGACCCCAAGGCAGGGAATGGACTTACCCGGGCTTCCTAAGGGGGCTGTCCACGAAGGGCCGCATCAGGGCGCCCACCCACTCTCTGGGGGCACTCGGTGCCGCCCTCCCGGGTGGTTGGCCTGTTGGTCTCCGGGGCTTCTGGCCACAGGCTTCATCCCTCACAGGCGTCTGAGGGCCTGGAGGACCCGCACGCCGTCTCCTCCGGGCCTCTCCCTGCTGCTGGGGAAGCCAAGGACCCACGCACGTCTTAGGTCCTGGAACAAGTCCTTCTGCTCCGTGCCGCCTCCTCCAGGGCACCTTCCGCAGGGCCCACCACAACCCGCCTGGGACCAGAACCATCAGCCTCCGGGGAGCTGGGAGCTGCTGGCAACGCCCAACCTCAGGCCCCACCCCAGACTCACCCAGCTCCCTCCCCTTCCTCACAGGTGATTCCTGTCTGCACAGGTGAAAGCAGGAGCTAGGCAAGTTCAAATGGGAGGTGCCTGAGGAGCAGCATCCGCTCCACCTGGCTCCTCCCCATCTGTCTTCCTGCCTCCCACCCCCCCACACATACACACCCGAAGCCCCTCCCACACACCTAGGCTCCTCCCACACACATAGGCTCCTCCCACACACCTAAGCTCCTCCCACACACCTAAGCCCCTCCCACACGCCTGCCTCACTGCAGGGCCAGGAGCCTGCAGCTGGTAGCCCAGGCCAGCTCCCTCGCACCTGGCAACCGCGCTGGGCCCTCTCCCCAGAGCCTGGGGGCTCCTCTGGACAGCAGCCTGCTCCAGCAGCCTCTCCCGCCTGCCCTGTGGTCCCGCGGACGGGATCAGACAGGCCTCCCCTGAGTCACCGTGGGAAAACAGCATCTAACAGGCCGGACACAGGCCCAGAGAGGTTGCGTGACTTGCCCGAGGCCACACAGCCGACAAGGAGCAGAGCAGGAAATCCACCCTGCGGCACCCTTTAGGGTCTCTTCGCTGTGTCTGTTTACAGGTGGGGACACGGAGGCTGGAGAGGGGACTCGCTCCCGGTCACAGAGACCAGAGCAGCTGTCCACACCACAGCGCCATGGCCGGCGGCGGCGCAGCAGACACAGTGATCCCTCAGCCGAATGGCCAGGGAGGGCTTCTCGGAGGAGGAGGTGTGGAAGGGAGCCACGGGGGACGCTCGGGAGGCGGCCACGGGAGCGTGGTGGCCAGAGGGGAAGCAGAAAGGCGGTGCTAAGGCGGGAACCTCTTCCAGCCCTGGGGACGCAGGCCGGGCCCGGAAAGGAGGGGCCCCAGCCCCGGCTGAGCGGAAGGAGAGCCGGGGTAACGGACAAGGGAGGCTTTCTCCTCGGAGCAGCCCAGGAGGAACCAGCGTGAAGCTGTGTCATCCAACCCCGCTCCCTCACTCTCACTTCCTCCGTCACTTCTGCTTCCCTCGGCTCTGCTCTCTCTCCTCTGGCCTCGTGTGCTCCCTTGTCTGCAACCCCAGAGGCCCCGTTGGAATCGGGCGAAGCTTTCTTCTGGAGGGGATGCAGGGAGCACCCTGAGTCCCTCCCCAGGCAGGGAGCCCCCGCCCCACAGCGCAGCCACCACCACCGGCTCGACCAGCCTGCAGCAGGAACGGGCCTCACGCTGCTCTGCAGTCTGCTTTGTAGATGCACCAGGCTTCCTTAGAGCAGTTTTGGGTTCACAGCGGAACGAAGGAAAAGGTGCAGAGGTTTTCCATCGCCCCCCCCACATGCACACACACACACACACACACACACACACACAGCCTCCCCCGTTATCAACATCCCCGCCAGAGGGTTACATCTGATGACGCGATCACGCAGAGCCCCCAGTTTGCATGGGGTCGCCCTTGGGGTTAAATGCCTCCACCATTCACGTGTGTCGGAGGGTGGCAGGTTGAAGTGTGGTGACATTGTATCATAGGCCGTTAGCATGTCACTGCCACATAGTGTCCTTCCCCGCCAGGGCCTTTTGGTCTCACGGCCCTGCTGGTGTGAACCGGCCTGTAATGGTCCCGTTTCCTCATTTCAGGCAACAAAGCAGCCAACGCCGCGGCTCGCTGGGCCTTGCCTCGCTGCTGGCGAGCTCCGCGGGCTCACTGGTCACTTCCGGTCCCTGAAGGCAGCAAAGATGCTTCCTTTTCCCCTTTCCCCCCTGCGGAGGCGGCATCCAGGAGATGGATCCGTTCCTGAAGTCTGCAAAGCGGCCGGCAGAGGGCGCTGCCTCCCCGGCGCTCCGCGGGCGGCGGGAGCGGAGGGAGGAACCGTTAGGGAGTCAGCTTTTCCCGAAAAAGAAAAGACTTTGCAAGCCCGTTTGTCCGAGGCGGTTTGAAACAGCGCTGGAGGTTAAAAGCTGTGCTGGGAAGGCGCGGGATGCTTCGCTGCCTCCGTCACCCCCCCACCCTCCCTCCCGCCGGCCACTGCCAGGGTTTCTGGGGCCCCGGGCGACCAGGACTTGGGGTTCAGGACCTCACCGCCTGCGTGTCTGCTCCCCAGCCTCGTCGCCGCAGCCCGGAGGCCCCAGAGGCGGGAGGAGGCTGGTGCCCCTGGGCGATCAGAGAGGAGCCGGGGACGCCTCCTAACAAAATAGGGCGCTTAGAAATAGCCCTGCAGCGCCCCTGGGCGGCCAGCTGGCTCCGGGGGCGGGGGCCCGGGCGGGGGGCTGCTTAACCCTCCCTCCTCATGGGGGAGGGGTTCTTTCTCCAACAGGAGGGAGGCTCTGGGCGCCACGCCCATCCCCAGACCTCCCCCCACCCCCCAGCTTCTGAGGACCCAGGTGGTAGTGGGGGGGCAGGGGTAGGAGAGGAAGAGGGGACCCCCTCCATCTGCGCCCTGGAGTGGGGGAGGGGACAGGACTCCTTGCCGCACACCTGGACTCGCTTCCACCTTTGCACACCTGAGCCGGTGCCGCCGGTGGGTAAAGCCAGGTTGGAAGGGCGAGAGGGGGAGGGAGATAACGGAGAAGTACCCCTTGCTTGTTAGGGTGCGAACTGGTGCCACCACTTAGGAACGCGCTTGGCCACCCTCTCCTGGAGCCGGACATGGAGGACTCTGTGCGGACCAGTACGCCCCCTTTAGGAAGGCCCCCGCCGAGAAACGGGGAGACGCTCACCCCAAAGCCCGGACGAGAACTTCAGAGCAGGACGGCGTCCAACCACGACCCCCAGCTGGGAGCACCCAGCGCCCAGGGACCAGGAGAGGGTGAGCGCTGTGGTCTGGGCGCTGGGGGAATAGTATGCAGCCCGGAAAAGGACGTGTGCTGGGGAAAGGATGGGGCCCACCCGCTGGCGTGAGCCAAGGGGCAGACGCAGACAGTGCAGCGGATAGGACGCCCCCTGATGGTGCTGGGGAGGAGGAGACGCTGGGGTACTGGCTGAGGATGCTTCGTCCCAGGGCAAGGAGAAGGAAAACGCAGAGTGGGCCGAAACCAGTGTGGCTCAGTGGATAGGGCGTCGGCCTGCGGACTGAAAGGTCCCGGGTTCGATCACGATCAAGAGCATGTACCTGGGTTGCAGGCACATCCCCAGTGGGGGGGTGTGCAGGAGGCAGCTGGTCAATGATTCTCTCTCATCGATGTTTCTCTCTATCCCTCTCTCTTCCTCTCTGTAAAAAATCAATAAAATATATTTTTTTTAAAAGAAAGAAAGAAAGAAAGAAAGAAAGAAAGAAAGAAAGAAAGAAAGAAAGAAAGCAAGCAAGCAGAGCAGGGCCCTGTGACCTCCAGGGAGTGGCTCTGTCTGCTGGGCAGGGGGGGGGGGGGGCTGCGGTGGGATGGGCGGCAGGAGGCCTCGGGAAGGGAGGGGATCTATTCTCAGTCTCTGGGGAGGGGGATGAGGGCATCTGTTTGGTGATACTTAGTTGGGTGGCACACTTACA